TGCTAATATGTTATGCTAATGAGCTCCTGCACCTCTTTTTCTACGAAATGACCCCTGCCAAAGAGGGAGAGGGAAAGGATCTCAGGGACTTCTGCCTCACAGAGGGTCCAGCGCAGCAGCCCCTCTATCTGGAAGAAGTGCCCGAGATTCATTCCTTTCCCTCTCTCCCTTCTGTTCGCCTTGCTCCAAGTAGGTGGGGAGGGAAGAAAAGGGGAGGGGAGAACAAGGGAACCCAGGAGGTGCTTCTGCCTGACAGAGGGGCCAGCCCTGGCCCTACTGCCAGGCAGAAATGTCCGAAGGGAGTTCGCTACCTCTGCGGAGTGACTCCAAAGACTGAGGGGGTTTAAAGTTTAAAACCCCCCTTTCTGGCGTCATGCTCTCTTCATTGCCGGTGACTGTGGGGGGATCATTATATGCTATGGGGACAGTTCCCATAGGGTATAATTGAGCCAAATTAATTCGGCTATACAGTTAATTACCTGAACCCCTGTATCATACCGATACTGGGACTCAGGAAAATTGGCAAATGCCAATGTTTTTCAGGTTTGGGATATCTGAACTCAAAAATACCTTTTTGGATTTTTTGGGTGCACAGCCCTACTGGTAAGGCTGTCCCAAGGTTTCCACTATAAGAACATAAGAAGAGCCCTGCTGGATCAAATCACCAACCTGTCGCACACAGGGGCCAGTCAGGTTCCCTGGAGGTCCATCAATAGAGCAGAGAGGCCGAGGTTTTCCCTTGATGTTGCCTCCTGGCATTGGTACCCAGAGAGCTACTGCCTCTGAATGTGGCCGTTCCCATTAGTCACCATGGCTAGTAGCCACCGATAGACCTATCCTCTATAAATCTGTCTAGTAAAGGTAAAGGTTTCCCTTGCTCGAAAGCCAGTCAAGTCCGACTCTAGGGTTGCAGTGCTCATCTCCGTTTCAAAGCCAAAGAGCCAGCGCTGTCCGAAGACGTTTCCATGGTCATGTGGCCAGCATGACTAAACAACAAGGCGCACGGAACGCTGTTACCTTCCCACCAAAGTGGTACCTATTTATCTACTTGCAATTTCCTGCTTTCAAACTGCTAGGTTGGCAGGAGCTGGAGCTAGAGACAGGAGCTCACTCTGTCATGCAGCAACTCGGGTCTCGAACTGTTGAACTACTGACCTTCCACAGCCTGCAGTTCAGCGTCTTAACCACTTGAGCCATCTCAGCTCCCTGTATTGAAGGTCCTGGTCCTTTCCCTCTCACTGGAGGGGAGTGTGGGGCAGAGCTTGAATTCTAGAACAATATGGCTGCTTGCAGTGATGTTGTTGGTTTTTACTTATTTTGAGCTGATTTGCCTGGAGTGCCTTTAAAAGCTTCTCCTTTCCAGTTCAGTGTAGTGGTTAAGTGCGCGGACTCTATTCTGGGAGAACCGTGTTTGATTCCCCACCCTGCCACTTGCACCTGCTGTGTCTATCATGTCCCGTAGTTGGGATTTTTTTTGTGGGACAGGTTTTTCCCCCCCTTTTGGGGCACCCATTTTGCTTATACTTAAATAAAAAGTAATAAATAATGGGATATTTGGGGAATGAAGCCTGAGGAGCACGGGGTTTGAGTGGGGGACTTCAATGGGATATGCCATAGAGTCCACCTGGAGATCAGGTTAAATGCCAGGGGATCTACAGCCACTACCTGGAGATTGGCAACCCCAGGACTGAGAGATTGGCTTCCCTCCACACAATCCCCCCCCCCATGGAAAGTTATGGGAGAGAGAGAAGGATTGGTTTCCCCACCAGCATCCCCATGCCTTCTCCCTCTCTCTCTTTCCTTTCCCAGCAATCCCCCACCCCCCGCCCAGCAGCAATGACACTGGGGAAGGGAAGGAAAGCCGCCCTGCCAGTTCTGGTCAGTTTCACTCCCTGCTGATCAGCTGTTAGGTTTAACAGCTGATGGGAGGGGAGTGAAACTGACCAAAAGCAGCAGAGCAGCTTTCCTTTCCTTCCCCACCCCCCTGCAGCTGTGGGGAGACTGGGGAAGTAAAGGAAAGCTGCCCTGCCACTTCTGGTC